CATTTTCTTATCAATCTTTTCCTTCCGTTCAATTAAGTCCTGTAGAAATAAAGATTATCTTGAAAGGGATGCCGAAACCAAACGCTTGGTATCTAACAGTTTCGATGAAAATATCGATAGTATCGATGTTTCGATAAGTTGTATGGATATCGAAAATTTAAACCGATTTAAATTCAGTGTCGTCGCCGGGGCACGCGTTGAAAAGCGTGCGTCTAAGCGATTAGTAATAGAAAGGGTGAAAACAAAGAATAATTTTATTTACTAATCAAAAATTCAGTGAGTAGACTGGAGTCGTGTATGCGCCGCGCACACGTGGCAACAGACATGAAAATCGTGCGTTTAAAAGAAGTCCATAGTGATGTACGAGAGGGATTTCTCGATATATTATTCTAAGATAGGTAACAACCCTTTGTGCTTTGTTATAATAAGGAAAAAGTATCTAGATCTGATTCCCATATACTTTCAAATACTTTCCGTAAAGTTCAAAATTATTTTATTTGTTTTAAAACTTTCCACTATATTGTTATTTACTAGGTAGAGCTGTAAATATAAATACGAAACACCTTGGTAGATTGATTAAGAAACTCACTGAGAAATTGAGTATTGTTACATTTTTCTTTTAATGCATTTAATCAGTTTTTGGTACACGAAATAATCATTCTAATTTTTAGCTTATTTGTACAAGACATCGACATGCGTATCGACGTTTGTTAATGAATGATAACATCACTATTGTGAAAGTCAAGTCAACGTCGTGCGCTACCCTGTCGATTGTTTTCAATATAGGTTCATTTCGTTTAACACGAATAAAGAAATCTGCTTGTGCTTTGACGGTAACGTATTTTGTATTCATTGTAACACATTAGTGGGCTTCGACTCTGCATTTCTGCGCCGTGATTACAATAATTATGTTCCTTATTGGAGTTTTTCTGAATCAATTGTAAGTGCAATAATCTGATATGATATTTATGGACTTAGAAACGATTCTTTTATTACATAATGTTTGTATTTTATTATTCTGCGACATTGTTTCCTTTGATATCCGTTTCTTTCTTGTTATTAGAATCTGGTGTTATAACTTAGTATAAAATTTCCAACGTGTTTACGTCATACTTATTCGTGAAGTTCGTAAATTTAACATTTTTTTTTATAATAAAACTAACATTTCGTGATGGTTTATCATTACGATTATGTTAAAATAAGGAAATTGAAATTTAAATTGGTATTCATCTTTTAAAACTGATGCAAAAACAAAATGTAATTTATTCTCTATTGTATCGCCAATCACAAAACAAATATGACATAGAGGAAGGAATTTTTGAAGATGTACTTAGTGATAACATAAGCAATTGTCAATGCAATAGTTATTTTAGTCCGTATTAAAATATAAATATTGCGTAATAATTTAATTGCTTTTATTGTTTCCCGGTCGATAACAATATAAAACGTCGTCCGCCGCACTATCCCCGCATAATCTATCCGCGTTCCTATTTTCCTTTTTAAACGGAATCCAGGATGTGTGGATATTTGCATGAATATTTATCACATATATTGTCGGTTATGTCGTAAAACGCATTTCAATGCATTTTTATCTGACACTTGGACGTTAGCGCTCTGACGATGTTTTATGACTCTTGTGGATTTTACGTAACCGCTGTTATCTTGTGCGTTATTACTTACTGATGTTTTTGTAACATAAAATTGGATTTGGATGTTTGCTTGCAATAATAATGTTAAAATTTAGTTTAAAGTAAAGGTTATATGGATTTTTTAAATATGTTTCATCTTATATTTGGGTTTTCCATTACGTTCTTCAAAGTTAACTGCAGTGATTTAAGAAGAGAATTGCTTTGCTACCGATGTGTGGCATGCATTAACGATTTGAAACCATTTTTGTAGTTACAATTTGTTTGTACAATATTATCTTTGAATTTTAGTTTAAAGTAATAAATATTGGTTTAAACTAATGTTTAAAACATTAACAAAAAGTGCAACATAATTCAATTTTTGTATCAGTTCTTTTTGAACTTCCATATTTCGCGAAACTCCGTCATCGTAGCACTATGACTCTAAAAGGAGTAATAGTGCCTAGAATATACGATACCAATTATAAAAGCAATAACAGATTTAATCAAAGTAAATACTAATCACGTACTCGTGTGTTTACAAGCGAGTTAAATGAGTTAGCCGCCGGCTTCGACAAAAGAGAAACGGATTAGGCAAATTAACCGCCCGCCGCGCTGGTATTCAGAATAAATTTTAGCACTTTCCTCCGGGAAAAGATGATAATAACATTTATGTCCTGTGGATACGTAAAATTTTAAACGTGTATATGAATGTATACTAACTTAAAAATTTGCAACCACAAAACGAGCACACTCACAAGCAACTAAGGGACTTATTGTTCATATTTATTTACAAAAAGGGAATCAGTGTGCTTGACGTATCCTGTCTTTTAAAAGTCAAAGCCCGCCGGTTGGCAGGGCATTCCCACGGCTGCACTAACTGCGCTGAGCATAATTTATTAATTTGTTTTCAGCTAACGAATTGCGCTAATGCGAATCCGCTCGCTGCCTCCAAAGTAATGGGATTTGTCATGCAATATGTAACGATCGGTTTTATTGGATACATTAATCGAATCATTGAATATTTATCTATTTACAGTGCCCGTTAACGCCAGATTTTATAAAATGAAATTTAAAAATAGTTGGAAATCTCCAAGTTTTCTAGAATAAACTCTTGCTTGTTTCTAATTTGATCATGCGAATATTGCCAGTATCCTACATCTGTATCAAAACAATTCATTTCTCATTTTATCAAAAAGGGGCCTATGTATTTTTGTATAACATATAGGTATTAGGTTTGGTAAAACATACTGTAAACATTAAAAAGGTTACAATATTCTTTTTCTTTTCACAACTTAAGAATGATTTTACAGTCGTAAGCATCTCAATTTTTATTTATGTTAGGGAACACTAAAAAATTTGTTCACTCCCGCATAAAATCTTCCACATTAAGATACGAAGAGGTGTACAGACCGTTTAATATTCTATTAATGAAAGTGTCGCATAGATCTGATGTAAATATTATAAATATCATTAACCCCTTTGAGTAAATACTTCTCTAAATTATGAACAAACTGTAAATAAACTTGGCACCAATATAATCACGCCCATAAACAAAAGGAGTAAGCAAAGTTTAAGACCCGCTACAGAAAACCTCTCTCCCCTCATTTGAATACATATCTACGCTAGTTACGTTGACTTCGATTGCTCTTGGTACTGCCATTTCTTAGGTTAAGTCGTTCTTAGTCAGCAAATACACGTCACTACGAAGTTTCAAGCCTACCCCGAGTTAATGGAGCCAAGGCCTTTATCAACCACCCTGGCCTCGTAGATAACTAAATGCGTAGGCAGTTTTACACAAATAAAAGCACATTGAATTCCAAATTTTCAGTCCGTCATAGAATAGCTATTAGAACGGAAAAAATGTAATTAATAATAAATTACCTATTAATTGCATAGGTCATAGAGTAGGCGCTTTATACGTAATCCAGGGTGGGTTGTGGATCACGTAGCCTGTTGGCTATCAATAATTCATCACAGCCGCGGTCCGTCAGGCGAGATTGCAATAACAATGGATCAGGGGCGCACCGGAGCTTTTGTGGCGCAAGCCATGAGCGAAGCGATACGCGAACTGTTTCAATATTTCTATTTTTTTTTCAGGATTAACCTCAAATGTGTAAAAGATGTTAAGTAAACATTTACAATTTGTGTCTCTCGTATGACTTTATTCGTATGTAAAATTTATATATTAATACAATTATGTCGTTAATGTTTTTGTGATTATCAATGTTGAGCCTTAATAGACTGGAAAATTTTATTTTAGCCCGCCAAATGAAGTATATCACAATTATATCCTATTCATTTAGAAATAATAGATTTTAATAGCATTGTAATATTTTTAAACTTAATTAAAATTGCTTATAAATTGTACCACACATCAGCGGGCTTAGCTTTTGTCTATTTGACGGCTAAAGTGCCACCACTACAAGTAGACCCTTCTCGTTACATTTAAGTGGAACTATCGCTGTAATTCTACAAAGAAAAGTATACAACCGCATAGGTCTAGGTAACTGGACGTGTAAAGCTTTACATCTATTAACAGCTCTGGTACTAGCCGTTAATGTGTCGAATGCATTTTAAATAATTCGCGCTACTTATGCAATTCAACTGGGATTGGGGTTTAATGCGTTTGGTAATACTAAGTAATTGTTACTAGCATTTCCAGGCGTACATATTAATTTGGATGACCTTGTGTTTAGAATACAAGTTTTATGTAAGGAAATGTAAAACGGTATTTAGTAAATTAAAACGTCTGTTTAGACTTTGGATACATTCGAATTGAAGAAATGTTTTAAAATACAACATGAGTGTAAAATAAAATCAATGTTAACAGAATCAAATTGATAGAAAACTTGAATTTCATAAAAATATTTTGGATACATTGGAATGCATTATGTTTAGGGTACCTCTCGAGGAAGGTCCGTACATAATTTTTTTTGTTTCTCACTACTTTTATTTTTATTTTGGAAGTTTTAAAATAATGCACAAATATACTTATCAATGTGTTTATTTTATAAAACTTGGTTTAATTACCTAAAAGCGAAATAGGACAAACTGCCAAAATTACATAAGTTATGTACAAAATAAATCCCTATAAATAAAACAATTACATAATTAACATTAAACTATTCCTTTGGAACACAATGCATAAATATTTGGACGGAACCGTTTTCCATATTTTATATAAATAAATATCAAAATATCTTATATTTGTAGAAACCTTATTTAAGAATACTGACATTTATTTTAATTCTTAAATAACTAACAATATCATGACGATATATTTTAAATCAATTTATATACAAAACAGAATTTCTTTTGATTTTCAAATAAAAAAAAGAGGAAAAGATTTCAATGGAAATGAACCTTGTGAATTACAAATTATTTTCAACCACCGAATGATAGATTTAAAAGGAACACACTGGAAAAAGAAACTAAAGAACCAAACACACTGCCTTGAAAACCATAGATTTTTATCTAAACCGGACATTTTTGTTTATTTTAGCGAACAAATTAGTAGATAGATTTAGCACAAAACTGAACCTGATTAAACTAAATTTTGTTCCATTTTTGCGTTTGATGTTACGCTTCTCTAAGTTCGCTTTATTGGCAATGTGCTAGAAGACGGAAGCTTTTAATTAAGTGACCATTGCTCTCTCCGGTGGCATCGGTAGCATATTATATGTGAATCTTTGTCCGTAATCTGTTAGTTTTAAAGTAGTATCCGACCAAGGTGGGCTCGGGTTCCATCGATCCATTCCATCTGTAGCTTCTAACTGCATTGTAGCGAGACGCATTCGTTTAGCAGCTGGATATTCCATACCTGGGATAAAAAAACATGTTAAATGTCATAGAACATTGACGATTACAGTTTTGATGTAACAATGCATATTATAGAGTGGAGGTTTAGCAGCGACTGTAGATATTGCAAATGTTCTACGGAATCGTTGAAAGAGTTTACTATAAACAAATATGAAATAGAAGTACAAGTTATTTCAAATGTAGGCGATAACTTAGTTATCAAGTTAATATAATAAATGGTAAAGTTTGGATGAATGAATGTTTGTTACGTATTGCAAAAACCTCTTTACAGATCTCGATGAAATTAGGCACAGATGTACAACATAGTCTGGTTAAAAACGTAGGATCCTTTTTTATAATCCCGCGCGGATGGAGTCGCAGGCAAACCTATTTTGATATTTTACAAATTCTGTGATAACGTGCAGAAGAAATGTTTACTTAGTTTAGCCAAAAGCAATAAAATTACATACTCTCTAATGTTCCTGCGGGACAGAGTTCCTGGGTGTAGTTGACTCTTTGATATTGTTCGTAGTACTCCCTCTTACCCTGATGAGGGTAGGTGTACATGTTACTGTTCACGATCATCTCCGGGGCCGCTTCGTAGTGATGTGGCGATCTATACAGATAAAATATGAATCTTATTTAATCAACCCGTATATTGTTAGCTGCACTCAGGGTCGCTAATTAATCCCTAAAGAAGTCTTTTAGTGTAGATATCTTATACTAACTCTACATTAAGTGTACACATGACCACTTTAAGACACTAAGACTTGGATGTATTAGTATAAAACTGGAAATTTATGTAAAATAGTTAATTTTTTTCTGATACAAAGTTTTTAAAATTGCAGTTTAAATTTATAAGTATTTTAAAGCGCTGACACGATTAAGAAAGGCTTTAGAAAATGTAGTAAAGCTTTATAATCCAGTGACTTCATTTCGACATGATTTTCTGTGTTCTTTTTATGTTTGATTTACTTTACAAAGTCTTTTTAAATGTTCACAAATTGAAAATGATCAAATTGAAACCTTATTGTATTAAATTTAGGTATTACGTTAATATGCTTCGGTTTTAAAGTAAGTTTGTAAGCGAGGGTTTACAATAAATATGGTAATGAAAGGTGTCAAATTACTCGGACAGACATACAGACGGACGGGGTGATGATTTTCTTATTTATATTCCATCCAGCGATGATATGACGAGAACAAATTGTGTTTAGTGACCTTGTTTGTAAGAAACTTGTTTTTTTATTGGCGTGAACGCTTAGTGTAAACAAGTACCGAATGATACCCGTGAATTTGTCTGTATTCGTTTGTTTTTAAATTAAATATCAATAACACTGGTTGGATTGCGTTTTATTTTTTTTTCAATGAATAACAGCGCGCACACCTTGACTAAACTATCGCAGAACTGTTTAGTTGCGCTTTGTTTTCTATGAGCTTATATGGAGGTGCACACACTACTTCCTTTGTAGTTGTGCAACTAACCAGTTGAATTTGCAATACAAGCGACAATCGGACATTTGTGCGATAGTTTAGTCAAAGGCGTGCGCCCGGTCATATTGAAATTAAAGAGTCCAGTGCAATAACATATTACAATGCATATTCAAAAGTCCTATTCACTATTTTTTAACGTGATAAATTGTAATATTTTGATATTATTTTTATAACCGCCAATGAACAGTTTACATACCTTTCTTCACTAATAGTAGACTGCGGCGAATGGGTTGAATAATCCACAGGACCTCTATCCGTGTATATCCTTTCGCATCCATACTCATCAGGTTTATGGGTAACATACGACGAGATGTGATATCCATTGAAATCCATTTCCGCGTTCTCGATATATGGATACGGCTCTTGGTACGGGTCTTGATAGCATTGGTCTCGTCTGAAGAACTTCTGACAGCGTGGGTCTAGCATACCACAGGGTTGGTTCTGATATCCATAATATTGGTATAACCAGGAATTAGCTAGCATTATTGCCGCTTCTTCTTCACTAAACACAACATTTTTTTATAAATAAGAATAAATTATCATTATCCTAGTTTGCCCGTGACTCGATTCGCGTGGAATAAAAAAAAAAACAAAAGTAAAGAGCCAAAGTATTCTTCCAAACTAAACTCTACATCTATGCCGAATTTTATCAAGATCCGTTCAGCCGTTTAAGCGGCATTCTCTAACAAACATCCATCCCCCCATCTAAAGTTTCACATTTATAAAATAAGGCAAAGTATGTGTCATTTTGATTTATAACTAGAAACTAAGTTCCGATAAATGTTGTCTATTGAATAATAACAATAATATGCAAAATTTCATTGAGATCCGTTTAGCAGTTTAGGCTACAAACTCTAACAAACATCCATCCGTCCATCTAAACTTTCGCTATTATATTATTAGCAAGATTGATTCTCAGTAAATTATTAAACTTTTATATATTAATTAACAGTATTTTACATTTAAATTGGATAACGTATAATTCAAATCAGAAAGAAATTTACTTTACAAGGATGATAAAAATATGCAGGAAAATATAAATGCAATTTTCTTCATGAGAACAAACTGTAAGAAGGTATAATAGAGTTTAGAGAGTAATTTTACCTTAAGATCTGATTAGTAGCTACAATGAATTGCCGTGGCGTGTCCGCCGCGTCTTTAACTTGCAGTACCACGTGCACCCATACGAACTGACCACTTCTTTGTTGCAACTTTACCAACAGAATACAGCATTTATCTTGCTCCGATTGCGTTACTGTAATAACAAAAAATACTAAATATTGTCTGTAAAGTTACTATTTTATTTATTTCTTTATAAGATAAATTAAATTAATCTTACTTAATCTATGTTTCGTTTGCGCGTCCCGTAAACTGTCCCAATGTAGGATTTGGTACCAAGATATGTCGACTAGTTCCGCTTTCTTCCAACCCAAATACCATTCACCACTGTAAAAATAAGACTTATTAGTATTTATTTAAATCGTAATGTATATGTGTTTCCAAATAAATGTATGAAAAATACAAACTTTTGCTTTGAATATCGACGAAATAAAAAAAGAAAGAAATTCCGAACAGAAATTATTCTTATGCTTCTAATTGCGTTTGCTTGCTTAGATTTATTAAGCTTTTTTACTCAGTACTAGCTTAAATCCGGATCTATTAATTAATCGAAGTTGTAAAGATACCGTTACCTAGCAACGTCCTGGAGAATTTGGACCGTTGCGAACGTTAATGTTATTTTTTTATCTTTTTTAAACGAGTTCAATGAGCATGAATTTGTTGCAAAAGAACTTTTTTGTACCCGCTTAGGCTTATTTTATAGAAAGACGGAACAAGCTTTTGTGATAGAAATGTATTGACTAGCTAACTGTTCCGGCGTCGTAAATTTAATTTTTTTAAGTCCTGAAATATTAAACATGCTCGTTTTATTCAGATACAATTCTGATGATTTTACGATTGCTGGATCAATATTGTAGTGGTTTTCCACGGCAACGAAACTCACATACACATACATAGTTGTTCCACGTAATTAGAGCCAGTAAGAGCGAGATAATAATATGTCTCTCTACAAGTATTTTAGCAATGGGAACCCACGGTTATGAGTTAACGTTGCAAATATAATTTAATGTTAAATATCCTTAACGTTTGTTATATCTCATACGATGCTGATTTTGTTTGCAATGTTATTTAACGTAATATATATTTCAATGACTCGTATGTTTGTTGGTTTAGTATACTTACTTAGCGTCTATATGAAGTATTTTCATATCCATAGAGTGGACTGTTGTGAAGACATTGGTCGCTCCGTTGACGACGCACTCTCTGGTCTCAGGCATTGCTAGAGGCGTGCATATAGCTAGGAAGACTGGCTCATTGCGACTGCAGAGAGGCAGGTATGACACGTAGTGACCTCGGACGAGAACTACCTAAAATAAAACATTACTTAAGTAACGCTTTTTAGTCCTTGTACTTGGATCCTTGAATATAGTTCTACTACTTAAGAAGGCTTTATCGGGTAACGGCACTGCGCATAAAGATATATATTTTTAATTAATTGCTATGATAAGTCTCTTTAGAGTAAGAAAAACGTCTTTTTCTACCAAAAGAATAAGAAATTGCACAATTTTACAATATTACGTGTAATAAAATGTATGATTCAAATATCCTATTTTTCAAGCTTCCTATTTTAAGCAAAACAAAGTTATAGCCAGAAACATTGTTATTTCAGTCACTTCAAAACACGATAAACGTCTACATACTTTCAATGTTAAACGTATAACTTATCAGTGCGCAAACACTAAGCAAATATTTTACGATCCAATTTGTACTTACTTTTTGGTCGCCAAATCTCATTTGTCGTCTTGCATTTCTCGATACGTTCATTCTACAGAAGAAATGTCTACTCTTTGGTACGTCTTCAGTCTCCCCATTGCTCCCTCTGTTTAATTCAACTTGTACTGTTTGATGATCCTGTCTGTCAATTATATCGTAAACACTATCACCGTGTATCAATAAATCTTCCTAAAATATAAAGCTGTAATTAGATTCAAATTTAACAGTCACTTAAATCGATTCTAAGTCCTCACTGAGGGACTCTATTAATGTCAATTTAACAACTTTAAATGGGACATGAAGTACTGAAGTTGTGAGAAGTACAAACCATCGAGTGTCCCAAATATTCAGCGGCATTTTCCGATATGTACAACAATTTTCCGTTCTGTGTCATCATCATCATAAAACCGTTCATTGCCTGAAAATAACATTGTAAATGTTAGTAATGCTGATTTTTATGTTTTCACTTTAACGGCTCGTAAACTTACGTATAATACCTTTGAAAATCCGATATTAGGTGTAGGAGTCGGTTGTTCTTGATACTGATAGGTAAAGTCGTGACTTTTGAACACTAAAACAGAAAGAAAGACGGAATTATGGGTGAAGTAATAGCAAAGCGAGATAAGATAGCGAGCTAAATGCATTTTAAACGTCTTAATATGCCTTTTCGTGACTGAAGGTGAGCAGACAAAGTTTGGGAGACGGCACAGGGACGAGATGGAGGATAAGCCGCGCGTGATGACTAGAGATTTGGGACATGAGAAAAGATGCGGGGAAATCTTACGCGGATATACACGTGGAAAACTTTTATACGTTTAACTTCGTCTTTTAGCAGCCGTTGTTTTATATTGCTTCTTATATTATATATTTTAATCGTTCGAATAATTTTAAGTAGTTGTAATATGACACTTGATGATCGAAGGCTTTTGGAATCAGATATCAGAGCTAGTTGATCCTCACCTTGTTGGAAGTAGTTCATCTTCCTGACGTAGACGCAGACGAGAGCCATGAGCTGCAGCTGCGAGAGACGCTGCCGTGTTGACGGCGGAAGCGGCAGCAGGTCCCGCAAGTTAGAGATCTCAGCGTTGATGAGATCTCGACGCATCTTACTCGCGCCTTTTGTAGACTTCGTTGGCTCGAATCTAATTAGAATATGTATGTATTTGATTTAAAAGAAACAAAAACACATCGGATCACCAAAAGAAGAGTTTAATTGGAATATTGCACGGCGGTGCACTCGCCGATGCGAGGCAATTATCATTTTATTTTTTCGTCCCAATATATACTGTATATATATTTTTGTGGGTATAAATGAAAACAGATTTGTTATTATGCATTGTCCATTAAGATAATTTGTATAAATATTCTTAGATTTAAAACAATGTGCGGATACAACAGGTGTCGTAGTCGGCGTGGGCAGAAGTTATTTCCATATTCCGCGGATCTATTAGAATTATTACATACTAAACGGATACAGGATGTATCGATTTATTACATCAGTATACGGAAAATATTAAATCATTGTGTAAATATCTTCTTGTATTTATAATTTTTCTACTTATATTGCATAAAGAAATATTCACCGCTTTTTATAAGAGTTTATGTATTTGTTACTTAACGTCATCAGAACAGTGCTAAATTTTTAATTCAGTTTATTTGATGGTTCAGAAATGTTTCTTTTTATTGGTATATATTTTAATAGTATATTCTGTCAAAAACTTTTACAGTATGTGCAGTGTATAACAATATTTTTGTAAGTTTTATTAGGGTACCCTATTTTGATTTGCAAAAGATTCGCATAGCCAATCTGGGCTTGTTTAAAGTCTTCTATCATAGTAATAGTAGATAGTTTTTTTTTTATTATAGAAGGTAAACAATAGCTTTAAGTATATTTGCAAAATTTTTAGCCTAGTTTAAATTTCATATATTATTATTTTTTAAACTACCATTAAAAGAAACAGCATGTATAACACGATGTAGCTTAATCAAAAGCATATCCGAAAAAGTTGTTACGGTAACAAAAACGGTAAAGGAAGTATCTTTCCTGCCATGTTAACATGCGTGTGCGCACGCGCATGGTCGGCGCATCACTGCGCGCGGCCCTTTCATCTCACCTGGGAGTCCTTTTTACAGTCCGACTTTTGTTTTTTATTTGTTTGAGCGATTAGGTTTTTTTTGGCGTCGCGCTGATTGTGGGAAAAAATGAAGGATGATTGGTGCCGCTGTCGTTGCATTATAAAAGACTTAAGTTTTGTATTAAGTGATTGTTTGTTTTATTGGATATTGATCAATGATTCTTGTCTTTAAGTGACTAAGCAGCGATTAAAGAGGTTTTCAAATGGTTTAAGATGATTTTTTATATTTGTACAAGTAACACTGCCCTCTATAAATGAATAGGCTATAAACCGTGCTCTTTTGAGCTTACCTTATATTCGCCATTTGGGCGATGATAGTTGCAGATGATAACGGTGGTGAAACTGTTGTTTGTAATTATGGAATTAAAAACTCAAGAATTTCCAATCGATATCCTTTGGTAGAAATCAATGGCAAGAATGATAAAAAGATTCAGTCACACAAGGATGTCTAGCCCGGTAAGAGAAATGCTGCCATCGATTGTCTTTGTCAGAAAATGTGTAAAACATGGACATAGAAAATGACATAAAAAAGGGCGTTAGTGTGCTACCATAGTAAAGTTTCAGTTATGCCTAGATAACTTGTTGATCTATTTTTTGTACATTCCTTGAAAACATTAGTATAGATGTTAAGTAATATTAAATATTAAGTACATTTTGTTAATAAACATTTAATTCTAGATTACACTATCATTATTTGGAACATTTTCTATGTTAAAATATTGAAGCAGTTGTGAATGATTTTTAACCGATTACATAAAAAAAATTGCAATTCGTCTATATGTTTATACAAAGGATACAATTAACTAACAACATGAAGTAGAAATTTCAAAACGAACTTTCAAATAAGGTTAAAGAATCCTAACAAGAAATCCTTTAGAAGTAAGTAATTTCTCTTCAAGAATGTTCCAAAGATCGGAGTTTTTTGTGCGGGTCATAATAAGAGTGACCCTTTGGTTTTTTTTATTATATAACAAATCGAGAATGTATCGGTGTAATGAGCAATCAGACAAAAAGTACATTCCTTACATACTTGTAGCCGTGAAACGCGAACGTTCACGGTACTTCGACTACTCGACCGTGTAAATTCTTCTCTGACACATTAACTTGAAAAAAATATTGTAATATAATGTCGTTTGTCCTTTTTATGTTATGGAAGTTTAAGCATTATTAATAGGAAAATTTGGAATGCAAACAATGAAACAAAACATATACATACGTTTGAAATTAATAATTTAAACTTTTATTAATGAACTAGCTGTTGTTTGCGACTTCGTCCTAATAAAATTAAAAATAACAATAAAAATATAGCCTATGTTATCCACTGACAATGTAGCTTTTTATGGTGAATGAAATTTTGAAATTAGCACAGTAGTTTTTGAGTTATTTCAATATATACAAAAATACAAATCTTCCCACTTTATAATATTAGTAAAGATATACACACATAGATAAATTTAAAAAGAAATGAGTTGTTCATTTGACGCATATAATAAAACTAATAAACGATAGTTCGTTTGTAGTAAAATGACTAGGAAAACGAAGAAAATTACTTTTCCTGAAAGTAATTAATTTTTAATCACATGAAATTTGAAATTTTAAACAATTAATATATTTATTAGGCCATTACGCTAACAGCATTCATGTATTAAATTATAAAAAAAAACATTAAGACAATTTAAACATTTATTGCAATTAATTCGTTTTGTTTATAATAATTATTATAACAGAACGCTCAATACATTGGTTCGAAGATGCTTTGGTTCTTAGATAACTCGATAGTAATGTCGAAAATGTAAGACATTTGACATAATGACGGTTAGAACACTCAAACTATTTGATCATACGTTATCTGTGGCTCACATCGGCGCGTACAATAAAGTCAAGATGTAATCAGATTGATTCTTGCCGCATTTATTGTAGTCTTTGTTGATGTATTAGATTTATTAACAATGTTGTCTAAATTCTGTTGTTACTTATTATTTAGTAGTAACTAGCTGTTCCTTTGCGGCTTCATCCGCATGAAATTATAAAAAAAATATTTCATTGTTTACATATGTCAATTTATTTATCTATCTATTTCTTGTTTATGGCTCTCCCACAGCAGATTGCGCCAGTGTCAAGTGTTTGTGGTTTTATTCTAATTTGGGAGAAACTGGCAACAAAACTATATGTCAAATTATCAATAGGAAATATCAAAATGACATGACATGATGACAAAGCATGGCAATTTTGCTTCCTTGATGTTGGCAGCAACTTATTGTCTCTTTCCCACATTAGGGTCTTTATGTAAAATATTTACCCCCTAAGAAAATGGCGTGAAAATATATAGCCTAAAGCATGGCGTAAGTGTAGGGCTTTTTATTAAAAAAAGAGTTATTCAAAAATATGCTGTAATTACGGACATCTGAGGCAACAAAGAAGTGTGTGTTTACGCTTTATTATAATAGTGTAGATGTAGATATAGATAACGGTTTTTTGATATTCTGTCATGTTTTTAAAAGGCGTTCTCTTCAGTTTGATTTCAAACATCATAAAATGCAGCCTTAATTGGGCTTAGTTTTAATAATTACATTATTGTTCATCATAAAAGCAATTTCAAAGTTATTCCATACACTTAAAACATACTGTTATTAATGTTTTAGAGAAACGGCTTCCATTTTGAATCGTGCTCTAAAAACAGAATAAATCCTAAATGACTCATAGTCCTTTAGTAATTACTTAAGTTCGATTTCTCATAATAAAGCTCCACTAAGACTTGTGCGGTGAGCAGCAGTGACATATGTAAAACTTTGAAATCATTAATTGATGACGACTTATGCTAGGTTTCTGAAGTTGCCCTTTATTTTATCATTATTTAGTAATTCATTAGTGTTAGGTTGAACTAAGTTTCATTGGAGTAAAACTCAAGTTACTTGAAGTTAGTTACTCTACTCGTTAGTTGAAGTTATCGAACCAAAAACACTAACTAATGGTTAAATGTAGCTGGGAAACCGGCTATTAGTCGTGTATATGTGCTAAGGATATCTGAAAAAAATGTCTACCGCATAGATACAAAGTCATGCTTAACTTCTGTCATCAAACGTGTGAATTGAATTAAATTCGAAACTACGTAACACATTGTATACGCTGTATTTTCGTCCAAGGCTACTTCAGTGTTACATAATAGTTTCATGGTGTTCAAAATATGTCGTATATCGAGCAAGCGGCTTTGATACCTATTATTGAACCAATTCAGACTATATTACCTTATATGGTAAAAGTAATAATGTGCTGTACCAGCACTTATCGGACTGACGTCGCGTTTAGCACTTAGGTAACAATGAAACTCTATTTTAACTTGTCTGTGTACTTTGTTTTTCACTATTAATGGTTCTATTTCGTAAAACAATTTGTATATATCTTACTACAGAGTAAAGCTTTTATTACTGTGGATCAAATTTATTTTTAATCGGATTCTTTGTTTTCTACTTTTAGAATTTCAATTAAAGAGTTGTAACATATTGCAAGTATTGCATTGTTTTTTTTCTTTTTTTTTATTCCACTATGTGGTAAACGAGCAAGCGGCCACTTGAAATTGCCGAAATGGCGAAGCGACCGCTGCCGCTAGACATCCACAACTGCAGATGCGTTGCCTACTCCTAAACGATGGAGGAGGAGACGTACATAAAGAGGATATTTCCTTTTCCTATGCGTTTCATCCACCGTTAAATCCGCTTTTTCTTCCCATCATTACCTCTTAAGATAAGGGTGGGAAGGTGGAAAAAATAATGTTTTATTCCGAGTAAGAATATACAAAGTTTTCAAAATTTAAATTGTTTATAAATCTTGTTGGAATGATAGATTTCAGATTTAGACATTTTGAATTTCTAGCTTCTGCTATAAATGTTTGTATAACAGCTTTTTTGTAGTCTATTTACTATGTAAATCATATATGCATTCTAAATACGATAACTAGCATGTTATGCGACGAGACGATGGGGACATAAACCTGAAAGTGTTAAGAATGAACGTGGATGACTACAAAGGAAGAGGAAGACCGAAGAAAGTGTGGATGGATTCTGTGAAAGAGGATATGCTTAAGAAAGGATTGGATTCAGATATGACGGCTGATAGAGATGTTTGAAAGAGCAGCACATACTATGCCGACCCTCCATAAGGGATGTTGATGCAAGTTGATGATGATGATGATGATGATGATGAAATGCTAGCGTAGGTTCTATTAAATTCCAATTACCTCTTTAGAGACTGGATCTTTCTGATTTTGTAGAATTGATTCAATTTGTTAGAAAGAGTGTTATCTTTGTTATTATTACCCACAAAAAAACCTTGAAGTAAAGGTAACTTAAAGCTTAATATTAAAATTATTTATCAATCTATCAAGTTTTTGAAATCACCGTCATTGATGTTGTAGGCGCTTTAAAGCTTATGAAGTTTAAAAAGCTTACATATAATAGGAAAATGCAATGGTAATAAATTGGATGCGATATGGACCTTTAAAGACAAAAGAAATAAATTAATTGACAAATAGATCAATAATTTATAATATGATGAAGAAAACTAATTGAAAAATAAGTATTGTTTGCAACATAGGTTGGTTTTTAAACATGGGTAGGTCACTTCCATTTGATGGTTAACTATTACTAAAAAGTAAGATTTTTCCTAAAATAATATTTTCCCCACGGTTTTATTTTTAGCTAGCTTTAGATTAAATTAAGATTAAATAAAATTAATTAAATTTAATTACTCTTTTGTTTCTTATTTAAAATTGTGATTTAAAAATATTCATGAGTTTATTTATTGAGATGTAAAATTTCTTTTAAAAAAATATAATATCCTAATACTACAGATATAAATACCTCGCAGTAAACATTATTGGAAGTAAATCATAGATTGAAATATCTTTAAAAGAACACTTACCTTAAAAACATCTTGATAATTAAAATAAGTCCTTTCAAAGTTGCAAATTAATATTTGATTTCACTATAACACAAACTTAGATATAATTCATTTTATGATTTTTAATAAATATTTTTATCGAACAATTAAACACGACCACACAGACGGAGCGACGAGGTGTCAATGATAACTCAATTGGACTAACAACCCCACACTCTAAACAATACTAATATTATAATTTGATTGTAAAAAAAAACCATAAACGGCACGTGCCTGACATAATTCATAAACTATAAAACACACACCGCGTCATTACTGTCTCCATTTGAAAATAAAGTTTACAAAAAAGTTAACGTTAATTTTCTTCGATGACTCTTATAGGAATAAGATTATGAAACTATCCGGGAGATACCACCGTGCGCGAGCGCATCGGGACACCAACTATAAAAACCTCCGAGAGGCCTCTCTTTCACGCCTTATTTTTTTCAATCGAAACATGCACGCGCCTTAACTCCCATACCAAGGGACACTTCCAATTTTAAAAGTGTTTTAAAGACTTTTGACTTGTCATTTAACAACGTTACATTAAAAAAAAAACAAAAAAGAATAAATAAAATACAACTTTCATCACAACTCACAGTAAGATGAAACGAGATGGTTATATGTTTCTTTCTTGCGCTCTATAATTTTGTTTAAGCGGAGAGGAACGGAAAGAACCGCCGTTTGAGTACGTAGCGTTAAATTAATAGGTCGGAAAGAGACGGTACTTGTATCGTAATTACTTTAGAGCGGCGTAAACGAGACAATGGTATGATGATTGGACAAAATGACAGTTATCGATAACAACATAGTTTGGCGCTTCGCGGCAATTTGCGGAGCTATGCGCACGCGCATCTAGATATGATGTTAATTACACTGGATTGACAGCTTGTTTAAAAGGAACTTGCTATCATTGTGATGCGATTATGTTTTTATTTCATACATACAGACATAGGTAGGTACAGTAATAGTAGAAGCGACGCCTTAAGGTATTTGGTTACATTTTAAGCTTTTCTAATTGGATTCCATTAGTATCACAAACTGTTACTTCTTTTTACATGATAGCAAAGTTCTTAGGATACCTTACTTATGTTATACCTGTAGTTTTTTTATATAAAAGTTGTAAGAGCTTATTTTTTATTAAATAAACAAAGTTGCATTAATGGTCTCTACGATCTAATGTACGATGATACAAGCACATCAAATGAATACTACAAACACTTTGCATTGCTCGTTGTAGTGATATCTTAAGTAAATTAACAAAAGAAATGTGATACGAAGATGAGGATTTTAAAACCCGTCGTACACAATCTTGAAGCAAAATGTAACCCATTGAGAAACGGAAACACATTGTAATGTGGTTGATATTTGAGTTTGCTATTTGCAAATATTTGAGTATATTAATATCATGTTGCAATTGTCTATGGTAAGTGGTCACTTAACAATTTTAGCGATAACGAGAGGACGAGGGTGGCAGAGGACCATCAATACTGACTATTAATGCACAAGCCTAGGTCCATTGTAGGACGTCTACAGCCTAATGGATGGATGGAAGTGACCGTTTGCAACCTCATCCAAGGAAATCAGTTTGATCAATTTTAAATTCAGTTTCCTGTCAGCCTGTCTTCAAAAGCATTTGACGGAACGTATTAAATCCATGCCAGTGTTGAATCAAACGGTGCGCAATCGTATCGCATCAGTTCTGCATTTGTGTGGTTCACAGTCGTAAATTGAAGAGGATTCCATTGCTCGCGGCGGCTGCCGGGCTACGCATGATAAACACCATAATCTCTACATCTACATGCTAATGTGGGAACACAAGATCGAATCACTGCTTCATTGCCTCTTGAGAGATAACATGCCAAAAATAATTCGATACTCTTCGAATTTGGGTGCTTTGAAAACTCTCACGCATAATTGAACATTCTTTTAATTTATTTGCATTTCTGCTTTCATTGATAAAATGAGAGTTTGAATAAGAGATGATATGTCATTTTACAATTTTTTGGAGTAGGTTGGTATTTAGTCTTAGATTGGCAAGGATATTTTCGCCATGGCCCATTAGAGATACAGTCGCGGAATTTCCCGTTGTTCGTATTATAGTGAAATTGCCTTGTTTCTGGCAACGAGACACGGTACGTCTCTTCTTACCGATCCATTTTCGTTCAGATACAATTAAAAGTTGCTTCCAATCGACTGTAGTTTTTAAGATGACACACCGCCGGATTCCCAGAATGTACATTATAGAAAGCCTCCTAACACTATCCGTATGAAATACTTCTTTTCATGTTTTTATTTCGACGACCACAGATAAATTCAGTTTTCAACGTGAAGCTTTGTCACTGGTACAATTGTTGTCTTGGGGATATATTTGGTTGAAATATATTATTTTTTATTCGTGTTTGATAGGATGTGGATAAATGCGATAGTCGAACGGCAGCGGGACTTCAAAGCTCATGTCAGTAGGATAGTAGGATAGATGGGTCTTGGCGGTATCCGGGCGTGGTGAGTGCCCGGCGGGGTGGCGGGGTGGCGGGGCGTGCGGGGCGCGGTGCGGTGACATCGCGTCATTAGCGCGCGACTCACGCGCCGCTAAACTGCGCCACGTGCTGCGTGCGCCGTCGGGGCGAGCACCCTTTGAGTATACAGCATGTTCTATTTATTCAATAAAGTAATTATTGACCAGTGTTGATTTATTTACAATTCAGTAATTTAATAATTTTCAATAAAGTAAGCTAAACTATTACAATTATTGTCAAAACTGCATAACATTATTCTCCTTCTAAGCAAATCATTTTTAAGTAAACGCTAAGTATCTACAAGCTGAAACTATAGAGGCTCGTATATAATGAAATGGGACTACTTTTGTTTGTCATAATATCACGATTAGTAAAACATTTCTTAAAGTGAGTCATAAAATGCACGTGTCAATTTAACCAGAAAATCAATAATAGTTATTTTTAGCATAGCTTACAACTGTGACGTTTATTGTTGTAATTAACAAAAGAAATAAACACCCTGTATCAATGCGTATGATCACAATGACGACGTATTTAACAGTAACAGCAGGGAGGTCCCGCCAAAGGTGCCGGCGTGACTTACAAAACCACGTACAACCTCCCCTATGTAAACAATAGACAAAGGCCCCGCCGGGTTATTAGGCTACTTTGATTACGATCAGGGCACCATTGACTCCCAGTTGCTGGAAACTCGACGATACGGTCATCAGGGTGCTCCCAATCTTGCACTGTTTTCGACTAAACTGTCCCTTTTAGATCGTATCGGATTGTAAAAATTTGTAGATAGATATGATCATTTTGTTAACAGTATTTTTTTATATTTTAGCACAGAGTATCTTTGCGAGGGTTTCGTAGTTTCTTGTCTAAAAACTTTTACAATGAAAGGCATTAGCTTAACAAGTATTCAAGGTACAGACTACAGAATGTTCCGTTTTATTATTATTACAAGTAAAGTTTTCAGTGAACTTTGATATCACCTTTTATGTATTTTGTGTCAGCCCTAATCAAGCTGTGCTGGTTCCAAAAATGACGGGTTTCTTATTTAGGCTCCCTTTTAAAATTTACTTTTAACAATAGGGTTGTATGCAGTTTTCAAACGTGTAATCTGCAAAGCGCTAAAGTTTAAAGATTATACAACTCTTAAAGGATATCTGCAGTTAATTCTTAAAATGAGTTTAACAATTGGTGACATAGTTTCTTGGAATATTGGAGTTTGATGATTCATACAGATTTATGTTATTGAGGCAGTAAAAGTAAGGTCATAGATAATTATTTTCTACATACACCACATAAAATAATACATTGCTATTTCACTAAGAGCGGGCGCACACTTTTGACTAAACTGCCGCACAACTGTTGTGCGATTGTCGATTGTTTCGCAGCCAATTCAACTGTTTATTTGCACAATTAAAAATCGAGTAGTGTGCGCATCTTCATAAAGGATAAGAATCAAACCGAGACTAAACAATTGAGCGATAGTTTACTTTCAGGTGCATGCACATACAGAGATTAAAAGAAGACATTTCAAATATAACAGAATGAGATTTGTATAAAATCCTGTGATTTACAAAATTCCTTATAAATTAACAGCTTAATTGTTAGAAAATCAACCTTTCATCCAGTAAATATAAAAAAAAAACACATGTAAGTATTTTAAAAGTAAGGTTAATGTTGCAAAGACTGTTGTCCTTGACCTCTGCAATCCACCTGCACGAAACATGACCTTAAATCGGGCTAATCAACTAAATCGCCACAAACGCAGCGGCTCGGGGGCGGCGCGGCGAGGCGGCGGTGTGCCGGGCACTGTCCGTGATTTAATACCGCACACGCTAATTATGGCTTGTTCAAATTGTAGCTTTCTCACGGATTACCAAAGCCCGAACGCACCTTTTACAAGTTTAACTTTTTTATTATCTTTTTAATTATTTTTTGTTAAAAAATTATAAATTGCCTAGGACTTACTAAATACCCACCAATAGCAGTACATTTAATTGTTTAAGGAAAAATAAATGAAGAAACTCAGTGTTCTTTTAAATGTATAATTTTAAGGGTCTAGTTTTTAGAATGGAAATGATACTTAAAGTATAAATGCACGTCATTTTAAGATACTGAAAATGTTTTCCTAAATAACATGGAATCCACAATCAATTCTATTATTTTATTTACGTAAATATAAAAATTATACAAAACATTATTACAATTAGAAGTTTTTTTAGGAAATATTGTAAACCTTTTAATACATTTTTTTCTGGTTTGTTTAAACAAAGTTTAATCTGTGGTTACTTTTTCGTTAGGGTCATATCAAGATGCGCTGGATCGGTACGTTACTGCATTCGCTATACTTATTCTGTCTGCTCCAACCTGTTACCCGGTCATCCTTCCAAATATATCCGACCCTTTTCCACGTATACAATCTATCAATAAACTATCCCTTTCTTTCGTCTCGGGTCAGACGCGTATTACCATAATGATACTTAAACACATATTTAAGTAAAGATTCTTTTTGCGTAAAAAGTTTGAGTACACACTACACTGCACTCTTGCGAATAATTCCAAAGGAAAATGTATAATAAAATGTAGAAGGTTGTAATGTCAATTAGAGCGTTTTTTGTTTGCAAAAGTTCACTCTTGCTTTTGTTTCGACACTGGACATCCAGGCATATCGTCAACATGCGAGTAAACTGAAAATATATTAATTCGCAAACGTATATTGAAATATGTTATGCTTCAAAATCTATCAAGAAATATAATATCGGGGAAATAGAAGAAAAGACTATTCTATATCCTTGTTTTAAATCTTACCTTGATTGGTATCACAAACATATTCTAGTAAGTCGCAAAGATCTAGGAAAGTTCTCTTCTCATCGCCCATCGTGCCGCATATAGGTACAGTGTCGTGGATACAAGTCTCTGCCAACTGACAGAATTGATCCACTTTATTCTGTAAAAACAATTACAAAGATATATCTAGAAAGCCAACAGCAAAAAGAAAATGTATGATTCTATTTTTAAATTGTTATTAGTTTGTTTCCCGCGCAAATAGCAACGATTTTTTCAAGTACTTTTTTTTAATTAAACATGCTGTATTGTTGATGGTTCGATTGTTATTATACTCATAGCTTACCAAAGAAGTCTAATAAAATACTTAAAATTAACTTAAAAATGTTTAATTAAAATCTCTACATTACCGGCGGTGTTACCGCGTAGTCTGGTAAATGTGCATTTACAGGGATTAAAACGCATGTTACATCTGAAATTCAAAATAACGGTATCAATATTAAAATCGATTTGTGATTTTTTATAAATACAAAGTACTTATAAGTCAGTCGTACAGTATACATATTTGTAGTCAACTTAGAAATCACGACAGTATTACATTTTATTAATAATGTAGTGTTAGTTGAATCCCGTCATGTCAGAATATTTGGATTTAAATTTATTCTAAATCGTTTTAAATAAGAGCAATATTGTTTATTACTCAAAAAGCGTTTATGTAAACACAAAATAACTCACAGTAAATTGCGTTCCTCCACATGCCGATAGTATTGATGTAATAAATGATAATATCCGATGCCCCGGTGTTATTCTGTGCTAGGATTCATACATCTGATTTGACACAGCATTGAGCGGGCAGAGATGGTGAACATTTTAATTTAGATAAATTATTTGAAAACCCACAATATGCGCTAGTTTTGGAGTTGCGAGAACGTAAGCCTCTCCCTCCTACTATATTATTAATAAACAAATTCGACAAACTTTTCATTTTCAAAGGTATAATCCCAGTCCAGCTACGCAAATGGTGTGAGGATTGATCGAAAAGTTAAAGGTAGAAAAATAATTGGTAAGCGTAATTAAACATAAGGTAATAAATAAGACGTAAGACCTACGTATGTAGAAATACTGTTAACTACTTTTTTAATTTAATATAATACAAATTGTGTATCTGAAAATGTTGGTGATCTATGGTTTCGTTTAGTTTATGCTCTACATACCTTTCTGTTAAACCGGGTGTTATATCATAATTTCCCGTCCTACAGCCATAGTTAATGTTGTAAATTGAAAACAAACCTTGCTTAACTCCTAAACTATATCAAAGTTGTACATCAAGAAGTGAACTTGTGTCTAAACTATGACATTTAGGATATTTTTGTCTAGTAAGTTTTAAGTTAAAAAAAGTTTTCAATCAAATCTTAGTACTGCATATAACCTTTAGTTGATGTTTAATCAGTTTGATATTGTGTGTTTTAAAGCATCATTATAATTGTAAAATATATGTAAAAGATTTTCAATTATTGTTAGTGATTACGTGAAATATTTAAATTAAAATTATCTGTTTTCTGTGAAAGTCATTTAGGCGTAAAAGGAAAATGTTATAATGTTATTTACAGGTTTAATAATATTAGGATTGGCAGAAGAAGTTTGGAATCACGTAGAGATTGAGGCTGAAGATTATTTCTTTCCATTAGAACCGGTAAATACTACGTATATTTTTTTCTTACCTCGTAATTTAACTTAGTTGACGGATAGTGATGTGGATTACGCGAATAGAACTTTTCTTCGCGGCTTCGTCCACGTGAAATTTAAAAATATAGCCTATGTTACTCAGTGATAATACAGCTTTCTAATGGTGAAAGATTTTTTTAAATCGATCCAGTAAATTTTGAGTTATTTCAATATATACAAAATATTAAAAATTAAAATAGTATAAATAACAATATAGGTAAGAAGTAGACGTAGATAGAGAGGGAAAAATTAGAATCTAGTTTTTACGAAATCCTCAAAAGAGACCTTAAAAGTCTACAATATGATATAATAGAAGATAGGGGTCGTATTATAAAAAATATTGTTTGTTTACTTTAAGAATATTCACTAATAATGATTACTACGCACCTATCTTTCTAGGTAATAAATTTCTGCAAAATGGCGGATCAGTGTCAACATGACTTCGTCCCTATCTGCGGTCAGGACTCTCTCGGGATAACTCGAATGTTCAACGATAACTGCGATCTTTATGAATACAATTGCGATGAAAAAAAACGTAAGTGAGAATACAACTATTAAATAAATATTATGGCATTTTGTAATGTATGTTTATACGATGCTTATTTTTTAAGTACATGTTTTTGTACAAATGAAACTAAATATTTGTTTTAGAATATCGTCATGTTAAAATGGATGTCTGTAAATATGAAGCTGCCGCAGCGGAGAGAACGAAATAAAACGAACAATGCAACTGACTTAATATATAATACATTAATAAATTATTTTAATACTAACAATATTGCATTTTTCTTTATATTTATATTTCCTTTATATTTCTATGTTACATAATTAACTATGTTAACACACATGCAGCCTTATATAACAATATTGGTACAAATTTTGCTTATACTCAGTTTATTCCTAAGTTTAACTTTATATTTTATTTATATGGCGATCGCTGAGTAACATAGGCTATAATTTTACGTGGACGAAGTCGCGAGCAATAGCTAGTATTTAATATAAGCAGATTATATTGTCGCTTCATTTCAGCAAAACACTAGCATGTGATTTGAGGTCAAAGTACTTCACAAGCTATTAATTAGACCAATTCTCAGCAACTTCCAGTGAAGTATCGTACCGGCTTCTTAGTATCGCCGTAAACTCGACTTCGTTCGAGAGCAAATAGGTACGTGCATAAATCATCTCGTTTGCAGAATCGTCCTGCAAACCGAGCCTACAGCAAACAGACCGGCTCGTAAGGTAAACTTCACAACTTTGACGTCACGAGCAAATACGCAGCCACTGTTACATATTCCTCGAATCAATTGTGCGTGTAGCTAAGAAAATGCACGGAGTTGCAAACATTTACTGGGTAGGCAATTTTATGCAGCTGTACTATTGAGATTTAAGGGATTATTTACAATCGTCACCCCGCTCTGTCCCCACGTTTCCAAAAAGTTTCATCCGCCCCACCTTTTGGTCCCACTTTCACCAATAAGGTGACAGATGAAACCGTTATGATATAAAATAAGTTCCAACCGTCCTCTCACCGCAAAGGATGAAAAGGATGAAACTTTTTATTCTCATCTGTCTCCACGTGGGGACAGAGCGGGGTGACGGTTAGGAATAATCCGATTTAAGCAAGGTTTGGAGAATCGCTTACAAATTATACGAATCTATTTTGACTTGAATGCAATAACTTGTGACAATAACAAGCTATGTTAATTACAATAATTCCTTACTGCATCTAACTAAAAGATAATATTCCTGTCTTGCAGAACTATTAATATTACATACTTATACTCCTAAATAAATTATTGATAATATAAATAGAGCGTCGGTGGCTCAGTGGTTTAAGTACTTGACTTGTAATCTCGAGGTCTTGGGTTCGAATCCCGCCATATACCGATGTAATTTTTCGAAATTTCACATGTACATTACTCATATGACGTTCTTACGGTGAAAGAAAACATCGTGGTACATCCTGCACATATCGGCAAAGAAATTTAACAGATATGTGTGAAGTCAACCAATCCGCATTGTACCATCGTGGTTGACTATGGCCTAGTGACCCTTACTTAGGGCAGGCTCCGAGCCCCTCGTGGGGACGTATAGTGAGCTGGTGATGATGATGACAAACAAAACAATTTTAGCAAGACCGAAAGACCATTATTATAAACATCGAATCGAAACAATACCTTTTAAAGTATCTGCTTTGCGAATTAACATAAAATAAATATTATCACATGTAGCACCTTATATTTCGCATATGCGTCTTCATAAAGATTGTACGAGCGAGTCCGGTCCTATTACAAGGCTTACAATGCTCAATTAATAACATGGAAGATATTCCCGTGTTCCCAACGCGCTAGAGGAGCAGGACATTGTTTAGAACCTGATAACTATGACGAGTTAATTGGCAGACAAGATCTTGTATAAGAGAATTAGAAATTTAATTTACTTACTTACGTAATTTTTTTTAAAGTATATCGTAGTGATTATAAAAGATTTTGGTTTGCTCTCCTATTTATGATTAATTTGAGAATGGTAATTGTTATTACATACTGAATTAGGTAAGGTACTAAATTTTAAGAATGCAGTTTTTTTTTTATTTTATAATTAAAAACTTATTTAGTAACTGCCATATAATTGATGATAAAAATATTTCTTTTAAATACACAATAAGCAATTAATTATTTTTATGATTTTAATACTGGACGGAAAGTTTGTTTCAAAAGCGTAAAATCATGTTATTTTGCAAAAGGAAAACACATCGTTAGTTTTGCTTCAATAGTGGAAGAACAAATATGCACTTTGTTTAGGAAACTTGAACTCACTTGGTCCTGACCTCTGACTTTACCTGCATTGCGAAGCTTAGACATTTGGATATTAAACATTACCTTATGTATGTTAGTATTTATCTCAGTTTATGAACTGTGACCCTTACATTTGAATATTTGTAAATATAATTATTTCTTCGAAATCAATAATGTTTTGTTCAACGGAGAATTTGATAAGAAACCTTATAATAGGAGAATTGAATATTTGTGATATTTGTATCTATAGTATCTATACTATTATAATAAAGCGTAAACACACACTTCTTTGTTGCCTAAGATCTCAGCAATAACAGCATATTTTTGAATAATTCTTTTATTAATAAAAAGCCCTACACTTGCGTCACGCTTTAGGCTATATATTTTCACACCATTAAACTTAGGGGGTAAATATTTTGGATAAAAACCCTAATGTGGGAAAGAAACCATAAGTTGCTGCCAATATCAAGGAACCAAGGTTGCCATGGTTTGACATGATGTCATGTCATTTTGACATTTGCAATTGACTGAAATTATTTGACAAATGTGAACAATAAAATGATTTTTTATAATTTTATGCGGATGAAGTCGCATGGGAATAGCTAGTTTAATATAAAATTTAATAAAAGATTTATACGTTTTTAACTTATTTTTTTTTCAATAATTATGATAGAGTTTATATTAAAAAGGTAACCTAGAGGAACTCTAATTAGTTGTTAAAATATTCGTAGTGCGGAGATTCACCAAGAACAAAAAAACATTTTCTTCAGAACATAATAATTTATTATTCAATAGCAAGAATAAATTATCGATACAGTATCGCTTTTATGATATTTGTCGGGGCAAAGATCAATGTTAACAGATGGGTTCGATCCTTAATAGGTTTAAGGAAATCGGATATGACAAATAGTGAGACCCCTAACATTTCCATAAAGTTCACCTTTGAAAGGCATTAACTTTTGTTCTATTGTTTCACAATGCGCATGCAATTGTTTACTTTATTCATAGAACAATGATTTATTTGATACATCATCCATATATTAACAAAAATTACCACATACCAGGAAACAACTAGACACTTAATTCCTTAATTTATTTAGGAATTAATTTATATCCGATGAATCCAAAATCAATATTAATTTAGATCATTATCATCATCACCTATACGTCTCCGGTGAGGGGCTCGGAGCCTACCCTAAAGTTAGGTCAACTAGTCTTTAGTCAACCATGCTGGCCCAGTGCGGGTTGGTTGACTTCACACAATACTTTGAATCTCTTCTCTGATATGTGCAGTTTGCATCTCGATGTTTTCCTTCACTGTACGATCATCGGGTAAATTATGAGTATATGAAATTCGATAAATCGAAAATAACATTGGTACACGGCGAGATTCGAACCTAAGACCTGTGGATTACAAGTCAAGTGCATAAACTACTGAGTCAACGACGCCTTGATTGATTTTGATGGGAACCTTAAAATAATTAATTCGAGAAAGATCTAAGTAACTTTAAAATTATAAAAATGTCACTTCTGGAATCCATTTGTTACGTCCAAAAACTTTTCTCACAATTGTATTATTGACACAGATGTGGTATGGAGCACGCGCACCCGCTGCACCTATTACCGTGTACCTGATAATGCTTGCCGACGGAAAAAAGAGCCGAATTTTCACTAAAGCCGACTTAGGGTGACACTGCTCTTTACAATGATACGCTAAACGATACACTTACTTGCATAAGAATTAGTTCCGCCATGATTACAAATACCTTAAACGTTTTGGTTGCTGTATATTTGTATACGAACTTTGCTCTAGTCAACTAGTGCGAAATTTCGTAAGCTCGCCGCGCTAATGTATGGATTATTTGAATTTGTAATAAAACTACTGTTATAAGGTAGATAACTTTTTTGTCTGATAAAACTCAGAATATGTAATATACTTACGTTACGTTCTCTAAGATTATGAGGAAACAAAAATTAAATCGAAGTTAAGTCTGAAATTAAGGTAAAAATCGATTCTATACATCTGTAGTTAATATGTACAACCTATGTTTATATTTTACTAACTGTTGCTCGCGACTTCTCCTGCGTGAAATTAAAAACTAATAAAAATGTTAACTGATAACGTAGCTTTTCAATGGTTAAAGAATTTTTGAAATCGGTCCAGTAGATTTAAGTTATTTCAATACCATCAAAAATACAAATCTTTTTTTTATATGAATATAGATACATAATGATGCAATTATACACGGTTTTATTTGCCCGGAAACTGGTGAAATGTACATTTAACAAATAACATCTTCCGACATTAAGCTTTAACAAAATACAAGCAATAATTTGAAAATATTTAAAGTAGTGCAAGCGTATTGACAGACGCGTCCACAAATATAGGAAGTCCCCGCTGCTTTTGAGTAAACATTTGCTTGTGAAAATGTAAAGGTTATTTTAAAATTGTAGCACTGCTCGCTTTTATAAAGTAAACTTGCAAGATTCTGTGAAGTGCAAGGAAATGTGCCTAGGAAGTGAATTAAAGCGTAAAATATTTATGATTTGTTAAATTTAGTTACCTTCACAAACTTTTATATGTAAAGTTCCTTAATTTATAATGTGTGTAAGAAGGTTTCTTAACACGATTAGGTTGTTTTAGATCCTGATATTTCGTCACAGTTGCATGCGTCATGTTCACGGGATGACTTAAGTGAAACGGTAGTGCGAAAAAATCTTTAATGTAATAAACTGACATTTAAATTTGACACAAATAGAAATAATTCTAATAAATAAATGGAAACATATGAAAAATATAAAACATGATACCAAAACTTTAAAAGACCTATTGAATGAAAGAATATTTATTGCTTCATTATATAAGCTATATTTATTAACAGTTTTGTTGCGGGAACACGTCCAGGCCGGTAGAGCAAACTGCGGACGTACGATTATTTCTACTTGAAACTATAGATGTGTGTTTTCAAGTTAGAAAATTAGAGCGATTAAATTTATTTTTATACTTTCTGATACACATTATTACACAGGGATAGTTATTTAATTTCTACTTTTGGTGTTTATAATACGTCTTATGCTGGACTAAACGAAGAATTAAATTTGTGTGTGTGTCAAATCTAATTGCAACACACAAAAATGTATTACTCAACACATTTTCTAGATTTATTTCCTATTCATATGTTTTTATTATCTACGTTAATAAACCTCTTTTCTTATTATAAAATCTTTGCTCCTAAGCAATATGAGATGGAAATTATGCGACTTAATTTATGAATAAAACTAGCTTGACACCGTTCCCGTGGAATTAAAAGAACAAAAGTGAGTAATCTATGCGAAATTTCATCAAGATCCGTTCAGCCGTTTAGGCTACAAACTCTAACAAACATCCATCCATATAAACTTTCGCAATTATAATATTAGTAAGATTATTACGCCATCAGTTTGTAAATTAGACGTCAGTAAAGGCAGCAAGGCGCTAGCTCCTTGTACCAATAACATTGAGCGTAAACAGCGCGGTCGCCTTGTTAACCTAAAAAGTTAACAAGGATCGGCCAGTACTTAGCTGTGCCGTGTTAACTCGGGGGACAAAGCCGGGGTTTGTTTACACCGCCTAGTTGCAGGTTAAGTGGCCTAATTGTTGATAGAATGTCAGAACATACACCTGCCTACCTTTAGTTTTTTAAAAGGTATTTTTACTAATTAGATTAGGGTCAGTGAGGTTAGGATTTAAGTAATTTACATTATTATGTTTTTAAAATAATGATTCATGCACTATTATGTTTTACAAAGTTTTGCAAAACATAAAACTATTTATAATAAAGTTTAATAAGATATTAATTAAACAAAGGAAAAACGTCCTCTCGAAGCTACTGCCACAGGCGCACAATTTTCTTCTCCCGACTGTCTCTTGTTTTTATATTTATTTTTAATACGGAATCGTGCGAGTGGCCAGTTCGAAATTCTTGTCAGCCAGTATTTGGAAGTATCGAAGAGGTTGAATATAAAGCGACGTTACACAAAAATATGTAGAGAAACCGCAGAAGAACAACAATTGCGTCTTAAATGAGAGTAATTAAATACGTAAGTAAAATAAATGAATTAGAATAGTGAGTTATAATGCCTCGCGGTGAAACGCTAATAAAATAAATGAAGAGTCGAGCGGTACCTTGGAGCAGTGTCCTATGCCGCGACAAAATATGTTACTTGGTACTTGCTAAGCATAATTAATTGATTTTAACAGGACCTTTGTTATTATGAACTAAGTATTTGTACGACAGATGAAATTACTAAGTACCGTCTATATTTTAAAGTAATCTATTTTTAATTGATACTATTTGTAGGTGTATTCTCGCATGCTATTTTCAGTTATTATACTGAAATTTTAAATTAAACATCTATAGTCTAATCTTGTAAATGCATCTAAAATGTTCTTATAGTATCACTACTTGTGAGTTAAACAATAAATTGTGTAACTAATTTTTTTATTACATATTAAAATAGTTTTAATTTTAAACGGGTTGTAATGTTTTCCCTTGTGTCCGGAGCGCCACAGCGCCACAGCGCCGGTGCGGGCTCTGTAGGCAATTGATTAGTCGGCGCCCTTTGAGGCCCTTACCGACGCTCTCAACAATTTGCTCACGGCCCGACCGCCCTAATTTTAATAGCCTTATAAAATTTATTTTTAATGTATTTATCATAACAGAGATTGATGTGGATGTACTTTAGATTTGTTAACGCTTTATGGCTGTCCATTTAGAGGTTGTGTTGATTGATTGAAGTAAATGATTTTTATACTAAAGTACTCTTCATTTTCATACACTTGTATATATACAAATTATTTTAAAACAAAGATCTGTTAGGTTTTTGTACCCTTCCTTTTAGTATGTTTTTACATGAAATGCAATTCTTTACTTATTATGTTTATAAAAAAATGTTTTGCTAATCGATTTCTCATCACCTTTAATTAATTTATTGCAACAAAATGATAATACTAAACCAATTTTGTGAATAAATGTACGGTATATTATAGGCTTCATTGAACGATATGAGACGTGCTTTGCCGCCCGGACCTACCCCACGAGTAGCGACAATCGATGCCGACGACACCAGCGCCGCTGAGCGCCGTGGTGCGCATGCTTAACCGATTCATGCAGTACACTTACGTACAAAAGTGTTCTGTTTTATTTAATTTTTTATTATTTGTTCATTGATATTTCGTGGGGTTTTATAAGTAATTTTTTATATTTCTATTTACGAATGATAAATTTACAATTATTTGAATAGTTATAAATAAATTTAATATGGTAAGTCTAAATTTAAAATACAACCAACATAAAATAACAAACAAAATTAATTGAATTGACGCTACATTTCGTTACCTACAAAAGGTTTTTAGGTTTAATATTAATAATGAAAAAAATATAGTAAACTATATAAACCGTATCTATGTATCATGATAATTTTATGCATAATATTACCCTAATCATGAATGAAAAATACAATGGCGCAAAATCCCTTGTGTGCGCAACCGTACTGCGGTCGCTTCATCGCGGTATGCGGCAATCGCGTTCTCCTCAAAACTCGAGTGAGAGCTTAAAAGCTATACCTCTTCAGTTCGCGTCTAATTAACTTGGATATCAACTTTGTCATTGATACAGTCGGCGTGATTGTGCATTGAAGAGCGTTAGCAAAATGTAAGTATATTTTACGTATTACAAGACATTTTCCCGGTATTTTGAGGTTATTTTATATTTGGTACTAGTTTTTTTTTATTTTGCTATTAAAACAAACTCAATAGCATAGATTGTCCAAGTTTTATCGGAGATATTTAGATAGATAATCAGACTAGTATGGATTTTATTTTTGCTAGCCAGCGCTTTCTTTTCAGTGTACAGAAATATGGTATTGACAAAACGGTACATCTTAGTTTTGGAACGGAACAATGGTTTTATAAAATATAATATAACCATATCTTTTTAAGCATATCTTGATGTCAAGTTAGTGATGGATTCGTATCTAACATTGGATAGGATAATCCTTCTTAAAATAAATAAGTCGTGTATACAATTATGATAACGCATAATGTAAAGTATTCTATGTTTTGAAGGGTACATTACTTTTCCTGTAACTTTGATACTGATGTTTTCGGGTACTTCATTAATTAAAACTTACTATTGATTATAATGCTTTATTAACGGTTTCGTTAAAGTTAAACATTGTCATTTGGACTGACTACTTATTTACTCTGTGGGTTAAGGTGGCCTTCGAAATATAATATTTTTTTCACTTTAGATAACTTCTGAGGTAATGCTAGAGTATTCTTTAATATATAGGGAATATTATTTTTTTTATTATATGTTAAGCTAGCGCTTGACCACGATCCCACCTGAAGGAGGTGACGATGCAGTCGAAAGATGGTACGTCGTACGTACGTACGGTTCACTCTCCTTTTGAAAGCCCCCACGTCATATTTGTCAATTTTAACTCTGATCTGTTTTCTTTGTTTCCTTTAATAAAAGAATTTCCAGCTGAATGTGCTTACAGACTTTTTCATTAAAAGTCTTCATTCGTGTTAATGAGATTCTCTTTTGTCGTACAAAGACCTCATTTCTTTTTAGGCGCAATTTTCTACGGACATTTTCACAAACAAGCTCTCTGATTTGACATCTAATATAAAATGTTAGCGAATTTCGTAAACATTGTATAAAAGTCTTCTTTGATAACGATGCTTCGCATTATTTATGTATTCTTTCATATTACAGACGGGTAAATATTCGGTAATTTGTTTGAAATGAATAGGCTCATCTTGGAAAGATACGCTGCCTTCTGGGGGAAAGTTATGTGGACTTGACTCCTCTCCTCTGGCTATTGAAGGTTCAGGAATATCTGCTACATTCTAACTTTTTGCTCATGAGCAGTTATTTTTCTATTTTAGTTTAATTTAGTTAAATCAACAAATGATAAATGTGTAAAACCATTTGTTTCTATTTTAAGCAGCAATGCGGTACACTTCAGTTTACCGCACCCCTATTTAAATGTAACCATGAACATTTTTACATAACGCCGTAATGACGCAGTATATCAGTATATTGTACTGTCGTGGCATTTTGCCAACTGTCTCATCGATTGGCACACGTTACACTCTTACTTAGTAATTACTTTAAAGAAGGCCAGGTATTTGAGAACAAGTTGTGTTATTTTTAAAATTAGCAGAGCTTAAACTAACTAAGCTAATTGTATCAAATACTTTCAAGTCACATATCTAGTTTTATGTAAAAAAAATATCTAAATTCAGTATGGTTGCTCCATAACTAATTTTGTGAGCTAGTTCGACCCACCAATTATCCTTTTGGTTTTAATCGTCTGGCTTGTTCAATTCATACAACGACCAAGAAGTAAAGGTTACCCTTTCAGTAGACGAAGTACTACTGTCTACAATAGTCTAAAACTCTTTGTCTACCTCCAGGGCAGCAGAAGGAGAGACCCCAGGTGGTTTGGCCCCCGCAGAGCCACAGACTGGGCCCGATGGAGAGATCATCGGCGGACCTCGCACGCCGCAGCAGATCGCTGCACAGCGCCGGCTGCAGCAAACGCAAGCGCAAGTTGATGAGGTATTCACAGAAATACTAGTACTTTAATTAATACGGGAATACACTTGCCTGTAAAATGCCAGCTACTAGCGCATTGCACATATACGTGAAAATTTAATTTAAAAATATCTTGCATGCCGGTTCACAAGACCGTACGAGACTGTCCGTGTCATGTTTTTAACCTTCTCGGCCCCTCATTCTATTGCATGCTCGTAGCTGCCATGCCAGTTAGCGTTTACATATGACTATAACTGGCATGCAGTAGTTTGCATGTAAGAATGACAGCCACTGGTTCCTCATGTATACTCCCGCCCTAACACCAATTGCTACTACTGCTTAATGTGCTATGATGATCATTATTTTATAATCCACTAAACAATATCTAATTTAAACTTTCAGGTTGTCGATATTATGAAGGCTAATGTTGAAAAGGTGTTAGACAGAGATGCGAAATTGTCTGAATTAGATGATAGAGCTGGTAAGTGATATTTTTGTTACGTTGGAATCTATTTTAATATTTGAAATAGATATTATTCAAACTACAACATTCAATTTTAAATGTTTACAGATGCTCTTCAGCAAGGTGCATCACAGTTTGAGCAGCAGGCAAAGAGTTTGAAGAATAAATTTTGGTTACAAAATTTAAAAGTAAAGTATTCAATTACATCACCGTTAACTTGAGTTGATTGATTTTTAATTACTTCTGAATTTTTGTAATTTTATGTCATTTACAGATGATGATAATAATGGGTGTGATTGGAATTGTTATTATTGGATTATTGTTTGGTAAGTATCAAGAAACCGATCAAAAACAAAAAGTTTCAATCTATTCTATAAAAGAATACATTTTGATGCCAACTTACGGTACATCTAATACACTCAAATTATGACGGACTAAACATAACCCTTCTTCTAACTCTGTGATCTATGCTTTCTTCTTCTAGATGAATGTTTAGCATAAATGTATCTAAAATCTAAAGTAGATTTCCTACAGTTGCAGTTTTAAAGCAATGTGAAAAAAGAACGTAGTTAGTATGTATTAGACTCCAAAACTACACTAAACTAACTGACAACTGAACTTTATACAAAAACACATACAAACAGATTTGAATATACGTCTAATACAGCCTGGGAAAAAAATCCGGCTTGAAGGACGAAAAAAATGACACATGATTCATTAAAAACACTTTGGAAGATCATTACGAGTTTTGTAAATTTGATTACATCTTAAAATTACAAAACGATACCATAATCTAATACGACTTCAACGCTATCTATAAATTCACAATGTAAACAAAATAGTACAGTTTTAAACACTTTAAAACTATACAAGTCATAACTGAACAATGCGGTCGTAGTTAGAAGCTGGTCGCTTCTCGGCATATGTTCCGCTTATGGCTGTTGCAGGTGATAATATTAAGGAAATGTTTGGTTAGTTCGGTACCGTGGCGCGCCGTCTATGCCCGCCATTACTGCCGGCGCCCCCACCAATACCACTGTACCAACCCTTACTAAAGATTGTGAGTAACGTAGATTTACTGTGTTTGCTGAAGCATGTTATGGTAATATGTAAACTATTCACTTATGTCATTCTTTTGTAGAGATTTGCTTTCTGCTTATTTAAATTTTGACTTCTTAACGTGTTTGTTATTGTCTCGAAATATTGCTTTTTGTTATATGGATAATTGTTTATTTGCTTTTTAGTATTTTACATATTTATTGAATGTTTTTACAGTGTTTTTGTTGTACCATTGCATTTTTATGTTCATAATAAGGAATTTGTAAGTTAATATTAAGATTGGTGCTTAATACTTTTGCTTAATTGAACTTTTAAATGCTTTAATGTAGTCTTAAGTAGATTAAGTAAAATTGTATGTTTTACGAGTTCGTTGTATGAAGCTATCATTTTCTAGTAGTATTTGTAAATAATGCTTTCTTGTACACACTCACCCATCACACTTCACTATTGTTGATTGCAAAAGACAATTTATTTATAATTAATAATGCATTTTATTAATATTTACAAAATATGTTTCAGGAAAATATATGTAAATCTGCTTCGGGTCACTACAACAAAACTACAAAACTAAATGACTACATCCTGTTTAAAATATAGAAAACAATAGTTAAAGTATTCCATACTTATATACCATATTATGAAAAATTAGAAAATATAACCGTTAGAAAAATATGTAAATTATAAGATTAAAAATTTCACAAACATCGTTACAAATCAAAGAATTTGAATTCAAAATCAAATATATTACGAAAATATTTATAACAATACTTTTTAATTAAAATATAGTAGCTTGGAATAATTTATGTGGACGAAAATTGATAGACATTTTAGAAAAACATGTGTAAAAAATTAAAGTTATTAATTCAAATTTTATTAATAAACTCAATTAAGATTGACATTTTGACATCTAATTTAAAATACTTAAATCATCGATTTTAATAACTCATTGCCGCACTCAGAGTTGTTAAATAGTGTTTTAAATGCTGAAACAATAAACTGATCCGTAATATCCGCATTTACAGAAGCGTTGTCTTGATTTAATCGACAGTTTCCTCTTGTATATTTTATACCGCTTACACATAATTACGAGTAAGTTTACACTGAGTGTTAATCACTAAATGATTCTGGGTACGGCAGTTAGTTTCTTTTTAAATGTAATCATAATTCAATGGAATTGATTCTTATAAGAATGTACGCCTTATTACCTATTTGCAATGTTCTTCGCTTATAAATCTTTTAATATTTATATTATTAATATTATATGATAGTGAAACATAGAAATGTACGTACTCTTAGAAGTATTAAAAATATTTTTTGCTAATTTCTGTCAATTATTTATGTAAAAATTGTCAATTATTGAGAAACCATTATTTAATAATTTAAATTATTTCAATATGTATAAAATATAGTCTATTCTGCTTTAAAATACTTACTACTAAATATGTTGCTCTCAGCTAGTATATGATACGATCTATCTTACGGTGAGTGTCCACCGCTGAAATGCTAGTATGAAATATATTGCCATCTCTCTCGCAGTGTTTAAAAAAACTGAGATAGCAATATACTTTTGTACATGTCTTTCGACAGTGGAAATTCACACTGAAATTATAATATACGTACTGAAAAACGTAATGGTGCCATCGACAATATTAGTTCTTTTATAACTTCGATAACTTGAGTGTAGTGATGTTCGATTACTTATCGATATTTAGATATAAATAATTTTAATTAGATTGAATTTTAGATTTTGCGGTTATTAGAAAATTCGGCTGTTTGTTACGAAAGCTTATTTCTTTTAAATGTGGAAAGTTTTTTAAGAATTCAAATTAATCTAAAATACAATTAAACTTTTAAAGTAATAAAGAATGTTATTGTTAAATCGATTTTGAGAAGATTTAACGTTAATTCAGATTTTATTGAAAAGTTTAAAATTTACAAAGTAATTATGCCAAAAATATTATTAAACAAACTTTGAACGTAATAAACAAACTTAACAATATCTTTGGCATAAATATTTCTCCTGTATATTCCCTTCTTAAATTTTACTTATAAACACAACACCAATGAAAGAAATCGTTGGATGGTTTTATAATTAACATTGTAAAATAATTGTTACTTTCAAATCTAGATCGGAAAAGAAAATGTATTATTTAACTAAAAATTAATAAAGATTAATAAATAAGGATTTATTTTTTGTCTTAAATCTCGAAGACGTTATCAGTAAATTAATGCAATAGTTACATTATGAAGAAAAATCACGTAAATCAAATAACATACTATTTAGAATGTCAGAATAATCTACTGCATATGTAGACGTCAGATAAGTTTATCATTGGGGAACCTCTGGCTTCTTTGTTCTATCATAAGTAAAAGTGTAACCAAGATTTTAGTATCATACTATCATGACCACCTTTGCATCTTTATCCCATTCAAGGGTACGCCAAGATTTCGTCTGCCCAACCGAACTATCCGTCACATTTGTCTTTCCATACTTTTTGATCATGTCACCTTACAAAGCATGCTATCCTCTACCGAAGTGCAGCTCCATATTCATATTGGAACAATAACTCATAGTAATATATCACAACAAATGTTCTGCACTGAATCCAGATCGTATAACGTGGTATCGGCAGAGCGTAGAACTCCCATAATTTAATATTTAGCAACGATCCCCGACACAACGTTAACGTGTTAATACCGCAAGACAACGGACAATCTTCTTAAATTGATAAATTTAGTCCTGTCATAGTGAAATTAAGAAATGTAAACTTCGAAAATGATCTCTATCGCACTGGAATAAAGTTTAAAATAGGATGTACAGTTGTTGACCATGGTTGTTTCTACAAGCGCTTCATAGACAAGACCATGGAGAATGATGTGAGAGCTTGCGAGCTTTCTCTTTGATAGTTGCCCGCCATTTTGAGTTACAGTAATGGCCGCTATGACGTGAATTATGCGCTCGTGTCACTAAAGGTAAAGTAATGTCGGTAGTATTGGAACACTTAATGTGAGGTTAAATTAAAGGGTGCCTAGGCGATCTGAATCGAATAACAATTGCTTGAAGAGTGTTTCTAAAGTTTATAAGGACTCTATTTGGCTTAATGGCGGATCCTTGATGTATGAGCTTGGATTTTATTATCTTCGCAATGGAAGCCTCTTTGGGTTGAACATTTTTGTATTTTAATGCCTGCTATAACTCACAGATAAGGGCCAAAAGGTGTTTTACATTCACAGTGCTAAAAATAAATAGCAATGTGATATAGCATGGACACACTTTAAGCTTTCTGACAGACTGGTTAATGAAATAGTTAAGTAGATTGTTTACATATTTTTTTTACAACAAAATGAACCCAATTTTTTTTTGCTTGCACTTTTTAGTAAATGCTCTACAAATGTTATAGTGAAATATTCATTGTATGATTGCATAAAAGAAATGCTAAAACGATATTTCTTTGCGCAGACAGTCAATTATTTTCACTGTGGGAACTGTCTAAGAAAACAAAGAGGCTACAGTTACAACCGTTTTAGTATCCGTACCTTTACTATTTGTACTCGCAAATTCGAGTTAGAGACAAATTACTGTAATTGCTATATATTGTAAATAAATTTCTTGTCCCACTTTACATTAATTACATCTACCAAACCAGGAGTCGACGCTTTCAGAGTCTTTTAATTTACACTAAATATAAAAGATGTCCCTTAGTGTAGTTTTAATAAGAGAAATACAGTTTAAGTATTTGTACATAGTTAAAATTTTAATTTTAGTGACAAAAAACTACCATTAACTCTCGAAAATACATCTTTAAATATTGATCTTGTTCGAGAATTTATAGTAAAGGTTAACAGGACTGCATATACAGCTGGTAAACTTTGCTCTGAGATATTAAATTTACTATTAACACTCCCAGCACTATTTAATTACGTGTCAAGAGAGGCCAGTTTTATATGTCGGCTGGTAGAGATATTTTGCAGTAACGTGATCGTGCAAAAAACACATTGATATGATTGTTTTGGGCCGTTTATCGCAGGCTTCAACAGTTCGTAATTGAAAATATGATTACTGTAGGAGTCTAAACTGTCAGTTTAGTCTGTGTAAGCTTAGAGCGATAACTTAGGCAGCTTTTATATGAACATGTATTTGAAAATAACATCCGCTTACTTTACGGCCAAGTAATGAAATATTTAAATATGAAATTGTGTCTTAAATGATACAGCTACGCTTAAACTGTAAATTCCATTAAAATTCGACTGACAGTTAGTAAACAGTGCCTACAAAGCGGATTTTTTGAGATACGCTTCAAATTCGGCCGTTACTATATCTTATTCAAGTATAACTTTAAATGAAAACACACGAATTACTTCATTCGATACTTACATTACTATTTCTATTTCATAATTGAATGGTTTGATGTTTTTTCTTCCGTCATTCACATTGCAATCGCGCAAAAAAAGAAAATCAACCAGGCAGTAACTGATATTTTTCTTTTTCACCAAAATCTCCTTGGTGAACTCTAATCAAATCTTACAATTCTTTATACTAGTTAATAAATTGTACAATTCTTCCCATACTTTCTTAAATCACACCTTTTCACCTAAGTTAGTTATTCTTAAGAAAGGATACTTAATAGAAAACAATATTATTTTCGCGGTTATACCAGCAGTGCCTCGGAGCGTACAAACGCTCAGACGCCAGTAATTGAGATTGTTAGGTAGTGACGTAGCGTCTGCAACTAGCCCAGTAATCATGGCTAACCGACCAATTTCAAACTACATAGAATGCTGCTAAAATTTCAACCAGATAACGAGGTTTCACATTATTGTTAAGTACATTTTAATTTTGCAGTATTATTCAATTGTTTTCAAACGTGGATTTTACACCGTGATAATTAGATTATTATAGTATGTAGACCCACAACAAAAATGTTGCACTCATCATATTTCAGATAACCTTAACTAATTTCTTGTAATGGCAACAGAAATTTTATTAAAAATATAAATTCGTTGCCGAGATTTATGCTGATTGTCGACAATTTATCAAAGTATTTACAATATATTTTTTTTTATTTATATTGTTTGTCTTTAAACATATTTTTTAAAAGACAGAAGGAAACAAAACACGTACTTAATCTAAACATTTTATATTTAATTGCGCCTATGTGGGGCTGCAGCAATGCCCCAAACGGACAACCGATCTTTCAGCTGTTCTGGCTATTTCTTAAAACATTACTTTCTAAGCGTTCAATCACAATGCAATCAGTTTGTTATCTTGCCGCCGTATTACAGAAGGAGCAATTGCAAAAATGATTGTTATGTTATTGCTACGAGTTCATTTTGTATTGTTTAACGCGGATCTATGTATGTGTAGGGCGAAATGGAGGAGGATAAATATCCGGAGGATAGTATCAGTATCAGTATCAGTATCAGTATCAGTATCAGTATCAGTATCGGTATTGGTATCGGTATCGGTATCAAACTTTTTGTGTTGTTGAATGTTATTTTTAAGAATTTGATCCCGATGTGCTAATTCATGAGGACAAGCAAGTAGCACTCCCAATCTTTAGTTAATAAGACTGAAATCTGCTTGCAGCAGCTCGGATGGTGCTGATTGCTAGTAC